TGAAAAGTGAGAGTTGTTTTGATTTGTAACCAAATTTATTTGAGTTATTAAGTCCTTAGAGGTGTCTTAAACCCTAATGCCCTAAAGTCGTCCGGTTTGGGAGCCATTGACCTAATGCTCTTTACACAAGTCTTCTAGAGAGCTTAAGAGATGTTTATATTACACCATACTCTTATCTTCGATTCCATTGAAAAAAAAAATGAAATCAATCAAAAAAAAAATTGTTCAAGTAAATAAAAGGTTCATTTAATGTCTTGATGATTGATATTTAAAATGTGTACTAGTTTGAGGCTGATTTGTGATATTTACATTGATTTTGCTAAGATAGTAACATATTTTGATACCGGTTCACTCAAAAAGGATGCTAGAATTGATTCGTTTTGCATGATTAACTTGCTTGATGTGTGGGGACCATATTTGCTTGCATGATGTTGAAATATTGAGAATAGCTTAGAAATTGTTGAAATTTGCATACTTGAGGTAGCCTTCTCTCGACACTTGTTTGAAATGTGTTAATGCTTCTTAAGTGAGAAAGAGCCTTTAATGTTTGTGGGTTTCATTTCTAGAAACCCTCACTAGACTTCACTTATCCACTAGGGGTAACCTAAGGGTTTAAAAGGCTTGTTGCATGTGCTAAATGCAACCATGATCCCTATGAAAACGGCATTATCTTTTTATTACTTTATTTATTCTAATTGTATAGTTATTTCTTTTTATTTCGTTTTTTGTTCATTACTAAGGAACTAGCAATATTTAAGTTTAGGGGTGTGATAAGTGCTAAAATATACACATTTTATCCCCTAATCTTAGGTATAATAGAACATTTATCTATCTTTATTTTCCCGTTTTAGTCTTAATTTGTTTTATTTTTTATTTTAGGTTTATAAGGCTTAAGCGAGCTAATTCCAATGTCTTAAAGTCCTTGGGAAGTCAAACAGAATCTTGGCAAGGAATGGGAGTAAAAAGGAAGATGAGTTAAAAATTTCTTACTTGGATTGATCGGAGACGATTGATCGAGCCAGACCTGTGATCGATTATGCTGTGATTGATCCAACTTTAAGTGTGATCGATCCAACCTTAAGTGTGATCGATCACGCCTAAGGTTGGATCGATTGAACTTATCGTAAAAGCTATACAAAAACATATCTAAAGCTCATTTCGATCCAACTCGGGCTGTGCTTGAAAGATGAGATCCTTGGGCCGAGTTCTGACCATCCTAGAGCCAAAATCCAACCATATGTAGAGGATGAAGCCTCCTTTGGAGGAGGATATGTGGATTGGAGTTCATGAGAGGCCATGCTTTGAAGACTTTATCTCTCTAGAAACCCTCTCTTCCACCATTGAAGACCTTGGGTTGTGCTTGGAGATGGGGACTGGAGCATCGATGTTCATCTTCGTCATCTTTATGACTACCAATTTCTTCTCTTAGGGCTTGGATTAAGCTCTAAGCCAAGTATTGTGTTATTTGTCTTTAGTTTTAGGGATTATTTTTGTAGATTGTTTAACCTTGTGAATTATCTTTGGTTGTACCAAGATTTATTATGTGTTTAATTCTTCCGTTAGTCTTCTTATGATCTTTACATTATCTTATGCATTGATTGTGGTTCATTGATCTCAACATCTTCACTTCTTGTAGTTATGTGGGTGATGGTTAAACAATGGTGCTTAATTGATGTAGTTGCAATTGGTTTGATAGTCCATGCTTAGATTTGATGGGTTGTGCTACAACGTTAGCGTAAAAGTAGGTAAGTAGACAATTTATGCTTAGATTTGATGGGTTATGCTTATTGATGCAATTTACATATCTTCTTGACCATGATTGTGTGCTTGTAGCCACAATTCTATTGTTAAACAATAGTGCTTTATTGATGTAGTTGAAATTGGTTTGATAGTCCATGCTTAGATTTGATGGGTTGTGCTACAAGTGTAAAAGTATGTAGGTAGACAATTCATGCTTAGATTTGATAAGTTATGCTTATTGATGCAATTTACATTATCCGTATGATTATCGATGTATGCTTGTAACCACAATTCTTTTATTGCACAAGTATTTTCCCCAAGTTAATTGCAATGGTACATTTCAAGGCCAAAGGTGGAGTCCATGACCTAAGTATCTCAATATCTCCATTCCTTTATCCATTTATCATTTATTTTATTTGCATTTGTTTATATTATTTAGTTTAATTAGGATTTTAAACAAACTATCTTTTCTAATAAATCATTTGTTCACTAATTTTAAATTGACTTAAGCCGTTGATCCCTGTGGATGATCCCTATTCGCTATGCTACATAGTAGTAGTGGTTTTATAAATATAAATTTGGCTTCTAAAGCTTCCGAAAACACATTCATATTGACATTATGAAGTGACCTCTCGCAAAGAGCCAGTCAACGGCATCTCGAAGGTCGCTGGAGTCAGAGAATATATCAAAGAAGAAGGAGTTTGGGTTTTCGGTCCGAAACCCGTAAGGCAAGTTCTTCGTTTTACATTTCTCTCTTAGATCTCGTGTTCAATATGTCTCTAGTATGACTTTAATTAGGGATGTATAAAATAATTAATGAATCTGAATTCATGATTAGATCGGGCTAGAACAAAGTTATGAATTGGTACATGTATATATGTACGTATGTTTGTATGTTCTTAGTGAATCAAAGGATTTGATTTATGCTAAACTTGTTTTTACATGTTGAATTGTTTATAATTAATTACTGTATGTTTATGGGACTTAGAAGCATGTTTTTGGACCCTAAAAAATGAATTTATGAATTCAGATCAGCCATTTCGAGCTATTTTCCCATCACAGGGCTCGAGCGCTGATTCTGGGAAAATAGCACTCGAGCGCTGTTAGATAGGGCTCGAGCGTTGTTCAACACTTGAGCACTGTTTGACAGGAATCGAGCGCTGACGGGTCTGGTTTGGTTAAAAACACCCTGAATGACCCCGGTTTGATTTTTTAAGGCCACGAACACTAAATAGGGACTCAGGAACAGTGGTATGTGGATTAAATGGTATGAAGTTTCGGTATGCATGTTAATTCGGATTTTATTCAATTATTAATTTGTAAATTGAGTACTTTAACTTGTTCAAGCATTGGAATTTAAATGTTTAGCATGGTATATGATTGTAATCATCTAATTTGCTTGAATTACAAGTTATCAGAATCGTTCATGGCCGGAGTTAGGATTTTTATGGTTGATGTATGGAACATTAGTAACTTATAAATGATTCATGTAATTTAATAAGGTTCAATTGTTACACTAATTACAATATTTGATAATGTGACTTAAATCATATTCATGGCTGTTTTTATGATCTAATATTTGATCTATCTTTGTTGTACGTGAGACCATTGTCAGGATATGGTTTTAGTATTGTATTGATATTGATGAACCGACTAATAAGTTGGATCCTTTATTATTTATACTATTGTCAAGATATGGCTATGTTGTTTATTGTGCCATTGTCTAGATATGGCTACAATATTTTTATATGTGGCCGTGCCATTATCAAGATATAGTTACTGTATTTTATGTATAGTTGTGCCACTGTTAGGATATGGCTAGATATTTATATTATTTTGTGTACCACAATACGAGCTTGAGGTCTCGTAATCAGTGGTTAGGATTGTGGTGTATATTCCCAGTTGAGATGGGTAATTGGATATAAGGATGTGTGTGCTCTAATAAAAGGAGGATTCATAACCACCTTGTGTGCGTTTTGCATGAGATACTCACTATCCGGTTGAGTCTGCCCTTAATCCAATGAGAGTCTTTAGTGTGTATATATATTTCTATCGAATATGTAAATATTGCATGAGTTAGCTAGGGATGTAGCGCTCATCAAGTCTCTGTTTGGGTTGTTGTAGAAAAGATTTGTTCGTGAGTTTTGACACACCTTTGTTATATTTTTCAGGTCCTCGTCAGTAGCAGACCTAGAGGTTGATTATGCAGAGCAAAGACTACTATTCATCACTCTTTCGGTGTCGTCAACGTAAGATTTTCCACTATATCTTTTTTATTCAGTTTTAGACCTTTATTATTATTTTTAATTATGGAATTTTATTAGGAGTCCATGATACGGATTTTGCATTCTGAAGAATTATTAACGTTTGGGAGTTATTGGATTTATTTAGAGGATTAATTATTCATTACTTAGTTTCCTTTTCAGCGATATTATTTATTTATTATTTATCCTTTTGTATTATGTGTTTATTTATTATTAATTGTTTGATGTCTCTTAGTTTTGGGCGCGGACTTGATCAACACGTGTCTCTGAAGTTGGGGGTACCACAGGGACCAACACCGTTGAGTTAATTGTGTCGTACCACAGGGACCAACACTGTTGAGTTAATTGTGTCGTGTTTGGGTTAGAGTAATTTAACCCGTTTAACTATATGTGTTGTACAAAAATTTGTATTTAAGTTCTAAAATAACATCTACACTTGTGTCTTATAGTTTTCTTTTTTGTAGACTATAGACTATATAATTTTTCTTTTTAGTAAATAAGTCATTAAACGGATTACACGTTTAACTCATTTAATAAATATGTCGAGTTAGTGCTAAGGGTTTCTCACATAAATATTAAACGAGTCATATTCGGATTAAGTTATTTAGTAGAATATTCTCATATTGATATTATGACCCACGAGCACTAATTAACTATCGACCTTGTCATATATTTTTTACTAGGGTTCCCGACATAAATATTAAACGAGTTATATTCGGATTGAGTTATTTAGTAGAATAATCTCATATTGATATTGTGACCCACGAGCACGAATTAACTATATGGACGTTGTCATATATTTTTTATTTTGTTAATGATTAATAATAATAAAATCAAAATAAATAATGCAAATTTTTTTTTTTTTGGGGAAAGGTTAAATAATGCAATTTTGTATATGGAATATTATTATTATTAAGTGAACAGTGAAAATTCAATATTGCATATTGAATTTTTTTCGAGTACTACTAAACTTTTAGAAGTTCGCGCTGCTGTACTACGTATAAAAACTAGAACTGATGATGGGCCAACTCAAGAGCAAGAGCCAGTCTATTTGATAGCAACTATCCATTATCAACCACCCTAATCAATCAAATTAGGGAACCCAATCGAAACCCTAATCAATTGATCGTTATTTTCCTCCCTAAAATCCGTTCTCTCGCATCCTCAATCTTTCAAATAAGCCAATTAGAATTTCTACCTTGCGCTCCATTTGGGTGTCGCTTCCGCGAATCCATCTTCACTCGAAGAGAAGTCTTCACTGTTTGACGAACCCAATGTCGAGAGACAGCAATGACCGATTACCGATGGAAAACTTTAGAGCTGCGGTTATGGAAATGGCAAGCAGACATCCAAGCAAACCCTTAACGGAGGCGCGAAAATGTCTAATTGATAAACGCATCCGAGAGTTCTTCGCCCACACGCCCAGCCCTCCTGATCATCCCCCTCACTCTGCGGTAATTATTTCTCAATTTTTACATTCAACGACTATATATACATATATATTTATATATATATATATTTTTGTAGATATCATACATGAGTGATAAAATTGTAACTTTAAGCTGCGAATGATAAAATTGGGACTTTGAGCTGGTTTTTTAAATTATTGTTTGTGTGTGAAGACCCAGATACATGAATGCATGATTGTATTTATTTTGAGGTGAAAAAAAAAAAAAAGCCAACATCATTAACTGAATTGGGGACTTTGAGCTACAATAGAGTAACTTTCTTATTTTTTAAATGTTCAAATATGGACAATCTAGGTTTGGTGGTTGGAAAATGAAAGGTTATAGAGGGTTGGTATAATTGCTCTGCTTTTGTCTGTTTGTAGTTATTTTACATACGCGTGTGTCTGTGTGTTTGTTGCTTTGTCTGTGTTGATGGACAAAATCTTTTGGGTGGTGTCATGTTGCGCAGATGATACACGGGGCACTTCAAGAGTTGAACGAGGAAGGTGGTTCTAGTGAAGAGTCAATATCAAATTTTATTAGAAAGGAGTATAAAGAATTGCCATGGGCACATTCTATATTCTTGAATCATCATCTGGGGAAACTTTGTGTGAGTGGTGAGATTGTTTTGACTCGTGACAATTCTTATTTGCTTGCCGGTGCAATCATGAAACAAAAACCTAGCTCTACACGTCATTCTAAGAGGAAGGAACTTAAGAGAAAGCAAAGCAAGAAGCGGCGAAGGGAACTGGGTTGTCCATGTAACAAACAAGAAATTGAAGCAGAATATCACTTGAAAGAACAAATGGAAGTGATTGAAGAACTGAATAAAGCACTAGAAGATAATACTGAAATGGTTGACAAACAAAATCAAGTTCCAATCGGTGAGATGTTGCAATCCTGTGATGATGGTGAGAAGGGTGATGGTAGAAAATTAAAAGTGCTGCCTGTTCAATCTCTTGGGCCCATTATGGAAGAAGAAATTGGAGCGGAATATCAGTTAGAAGAATCAAGGGAAGGGATTGAAGAACTAAATCAAGCACTAGAACATTATACTTTTGACAAACAAAATCAAGTGTCATTCGATGAGATGTTGCAATCCTGTGATGATGGTGAGAAGGGTGATGGTGGGAAATTAAAGTTGCTGCCCGTTGAGTCTCTGGGGCCCATTATGGAAGAAGAAATTGAAGATGAATATCAGTTGAAAGAACCGATGGAAGTGATTGAAGAACAAAATGAAGCATTAGAAGATGAGAAGGATGATGATATCAGTGAGATGTTGCAATCCTGTGATGATCGTGAGAAGGGTGATTGTTGGAAATTAAAGGTGCTGCCCGTTGAGGCTCTTGGCTCCATTATGGAAGAAGAAATTGAATCAGAATATCTATTGAAAGAACCGATGGAAGGATTGAAAGAACCGATGGAAGGGATTGAAGAACAAAATCAAGCATTAGAATATGAAAAGGATGATGATATCAGTGAGATATTGCAATCCTGTGATGATGGTGAGAAGGGTGATGGTAGGAAATTAAAGTTGCTGCCCGTTGAGGCTCTTGGGCCCATTATGGAAGAAGAAGTTGAATCAGAATATCAGTTGAAAGAACTGATGGAAGGATTGAAAGAACCGATGGAAGGGATTGAAGAACAAAATGAAGCATTAGACTATGAGAAGGATGGTGATATCAGTGAGATGTTGCAATCCTGTGATGCTGGTGAGAAGGGTGAGGGTAGGAAATTAAAGGTGCTGCCCGTTGAGTCTCTTGGGCCCATTATGGAAGAAGAAATTGAAGCAGAATATCAGTTGAAAGAACCGATGGAAGGGATTGAAGAACAAAATCAAGCATTAGAAGATGAGAAGAATGATGAAAGTTTAAAGTTGCTGTCTGTTGAGTCCCTTGAGCCTATTATGGAAGAAGAGAAAAAAGAATCTTCAGAGGAAGAGCATCCGATGAAGAGTCCTGGAGAGGAAAATTCTGATATCGTTGTTTTGCAGCCGGAACAGCAATTAGATCTTCCACTTCCTGAAAAAATTTCGGAACTAAAATCAACAGAATTGAGTTACACACCGGTTCAGCTGGAGCAGCGGACACAGGAGAAGCCACAATGTAGGCAATTACGGCCTCGACCTCCTAAAGCTGGATCACTGACAGATACAAGTATGACCGAATCCTTGCCCTCACAAAATCAGCATGAGGTGCAGGGGACGCAGGAGAAGCCACATCGTAGGAAATTACGGCCTCGACCTCCCAAAGCTGGATCACTGACAGATACAAGTATGACCGAATCCTTGCCCTCACAACATCAGCATGAGGAGCAGCGGACACAGGAGAAGCCACAACGTAGGCAATTACGGCCTCGGCCTCCCAAAGCTGGATCACTGACAGATACAAGTATGACTGAATCCTTGCCCTCACAACATCAGCATGAGGAGCAGCGGACACAGGAGAAGCCACGACGTAGGCAATTACGGCCTCGACCTCCTAAAGCTGGATCACTGGCAGCTGCAAGTACGACTGAATCGTTGCCCCGTCAACAGGAGCAGCTGGAGCAAGTGGAGCAACCAGAGCGTCGAGGTCCGGGGAGGCCTAAGAAGCAACGGGAGCAGCTGGAGCAAGTGGAGCAACCAGAGCGTCGAGGCTGTGGGAGGCCTAGAAAGCAGCAGGAGGAACCAAAGCAGCAGGCGCAACCAAAGCGTCGAGGCCGGGGGAGGCCTCCTAAAGCCCAAACCAACTAGTAGCATAGATATGAAGACTCAATGAAGTGGCAGCACAGCAGCCCAAGAGTTGGGACCTGGAAGGTTGCTAAAGCTGGACTAATGAATTCAAGGACAGTAAATGTGGTAAGTGAAATTTTGTACTTTTGACTAGCATCAACACCATAGTGGTTGCTGTGTGCAACATAGTGTATGTGTAGTAGAAGTAGAATTTTGAGGCTTCAACTGTGTTCTGTCACTGGCAATCATCGCGTAGTTAATTTGTTGCTGCTGTATATGGTTGGTTTGGATTCCTTTAGATTTGTTGATGTTTTGTGTTTTGTGTTTGGATTCTTCTTTCCATGAAAGATAGTCACTTAGGGTAGGCTATTCAGTGGAAAGAAGATAATCACTTAGGGTAGGCTATTCAGTGGAAAGAAGATAATCACTTAGGGTAGGCTATTCAGTTCTTCCGGTTAACCTTTCTTGGTTTAGCTCCCGGAGACCCAAAATTTAGAATTGCAAATATGGACTAAGAACTCAGAAGGGGAATTATCATTGCACATAATAAATAATTATAACTAATTATTTGAAAAACAAACAATTAGATTAAGTAAAATACATATCAGCAAAATTCTCATATGAAGATTCTTCTTTTTCCTCTCTTATAGTCGGATTTAGAATGATGGAACAAAGCCATTATCCATGTTCTGCCATTAGTGTTGTCGATAGCATCTGCTCCACTTCAAGTTCTTTGTTCTCTTTTCAAACCGGCCTTTGATCCGGGGCTGGTTTCTGCATAGGCCTTTCTTGAGGCATATCCGATTGTCTTCTCAAACTTTCTTATCTTCTTCTCTCTGTACCTTAGGACTCTGGCTTCTCTGTCCATTGGAGGGATCTGAATGGGAGTGTTCGTGAAAAGGTCAATTGTTTCCTTTGGGAGGCCTTGGGTGCGAGATTGAGACATCGCTCATTGTAGGTTCCGGTACACGCCAACATCCATGGATGAAGTAGAGATCTGATCACAAAATTACATAAAACCACAGAGTCGGTTACAAATTGCATGAAACTTTTCATTGGGATGATTGAAGATTGACTGTTCATTTAGAGTTTTTGATCACTTAGGAAAAGAAGATAATTTAAAATGTGATATTTTTGTCATGAAACCAACAGAAAAGGTCTTCCACCAGCCTTGCCAGACCCTTCTGTTATCAATCAAATTGAATCCATTCTCAAGTCCCTTGAAAAAGGTAAAGTTAAAGTCAAAGAAGAAACAGATGAGAAAGTTCTCACTGTCATCAATTATCCTAACAGTTCTGATAGTTCTTCTTCTAATAATACCAGTTACCCTTCTGATATTCAGAAAATTGAAACTGCTTTCTCCAATTTTGAACTCAATCGTCTTACCAACAAAAGAGTCAACCCTACCAGTCTTACCAAAAACTGATATCCAAGACCCACTCCTCCAGACCTCCAATTTGAGGAAAAGAATATTCAAAATCTCTGTCTCTTCAGATGAACTCTATGAATGGAATATAGATGGATTATCTGAACAAGAAATTTTGAATAAATTAAGTCATATTTCTATGGTCGCCAACAATTATGTCACTACCCATAATCTCAGTCAACCAGAAATTGTTGATTTGCTCACCTCAGGATTCTCGGGAATGTTAAAATCCTGGTGGGAAAAACATCTCACTGAAGAATCTCGCAATAACATTAAAAATGTTGTTCGAAGGGATGATAATGGTCTTCTTATCTTTGATGAAGCTATAGGACATGGTATCCCTGATGGAGTTAATACATTAGTATACACCATAGTTGACCATTTCATAGGTACTCCAAGTAACATCACCTCCAGGATATATGACCAACTTACCAATCTCACTTGTCCAACCATGAGTGATTTTTGGTGGTATAAAGATATATTCTTATCTAGAGTCATGCTTAAAGATGATAGTAACAAACCATTCTGGAAAGAAAAATTCATTAATGGTTTACTCAATCTCTTTGCCCATAAGATTAGAGATACTCTAAGTAAAGTCACAGGTAGTATTGATTATGATAACCTTACTAATGGCAATATCATCAGCTTAATCCAAAAGGAAGGATTAAGGATGTGTATTGACATGAAAATTAGTAACCAATTACAAGATGATAGGAAAAGAGCTAAATATGAAATGGGAACCTTTTGTGAACAATATGGTCTTCCACCCGTAGCTCCCTCTAGACGAAACCCCAAACCTCAGAGGAATAGTTACAAAGGTTATCGTAAATATTACAAAAACAGGAAACCCGTCTTTTTAAAAAATGAATATTATTCTCAAAAGTCTAAACCTAAAAAGAAATTTAGTAAACAGACTTTTAAGAAAAAGACTAACCCCGCTACCACAGATATTAGTAAAGTCAAATGTTGCAAATGTGGCCGACTAGGTCACTTTGCAAAAGATTGTTATGCAAAGAAAAAGATCAGTCAGTTACAAATCTCCAATGAAGTTAAAGAATCCATTTATCAAATTCTCTAGTTAAAAGATGCTGATGATAGTAGTAGTGACCCAGAAGTTAGTTCTTCCTCTCAATCATCTGATAATTCCCTTAGTTCTCCCAACATTACCTTAAGATGTAAAGATAGTTGTTGCAATCCGAATAAGTCACTTAATGTTCTCACAAAAAATGATGAACAAGAACATCTACTTATTGATTTAATCAGTAAGGTAGATAACCCTTAGTTAAAAACCTTATATCTTAAAAAACTTAAGGTATTATTAGGCAACTCAAAAACTGAACCCCCAACAGTCAGTAAACCCAATTTTAGTCTATGTAAAACTTTAGAAAGGTTTAATAATAAGCCTAAAAAGGTCACTATTCAAGACCTTCAAGCAGAAATTAACATAATTAAAACTGAGATTAAAAATCTCAAGTCAGAACACCAAGTTATGAAGCATAATATTCAGGAGTTAAACGTGAATCCTGCCTTTTCCCTCACAGGAAAAGAATCATCTGATGAAGAAGTCTCTGCTCATTCAGAAGCCTCTAAAAATTCAGGATGTTCAGAATCTTCTAAAAAACTCCAAACTTTAAGTCACATTTCATTTCAAAAATGGTATGCTAAAGTTACCCTTATTATCAACAAAGATTTCAAACTTGAAGTCGTTGCTTTGATTGATGCAGGAGCTGATCTTAATTGCATTCAGGAAGGTCTTATACCAACTAAATACTATGAGAAAACCTCTGAAAGGCTAAGCTTAGCTAATGGAAGTAAAATGGACATAAAATATAAGTTATCTAAAGCCCATATTTGCCAAAACAATGTATGTTTTAAGACATCCTTTGTCTTGGTAAAAAATATGACGGATAAGCTCATTTTAGGAGTTCCATTCATCTACCTCCTCTATCCCTTTACTACTGATAATGAAGGATTAGTTACTCGACCTTTTGGACATGAAGTTCAGTTTAAGTTCCTTAGTCCACCGTCCAGGAAAGAATTAAAATCTGTAATTGATTCCTCTGTGTCCAAATCCATAAACCTACTTCAACGTAAAACTCAGCAGTTAGTATTTTTAAAAGAAGAAGTTAATTACAAACGCATTGATGATCAGTTAGCTGATCCAGTGCTCCAAACAAAAATTCAAGATTTTGAACAACAAATTAAAAATACAGTTTGTTTTGATCTTCCAACTGCTTTCTGGCACAGAAAAAGACATTCTGTGAAGTTACCTTACATTAAAGGCTTTAGGAGAAGACACATTCCCACTAAAGCAAGGCCTATCCAAATGAGCCCTGAAGTCATGGAATTTTGCAAAAAGGAAATGTCTAATCATTTACGCAAAAAGATCATTAGAAAGAGCAAGTCTCCTTGGTCATGTCCAGCTTTCTATGTCCAGAAAAACTCTGAAATAGAAAGAGGTGTTCCTTGTCTAGTTATCAATTACAAGCCTCTAACTAAGGTCTTAGAATGGATTAGGTATCCTATTCCCAATAAAAAAGATCTTATTAGTCGCCTTAGTCGAGCAGTTATTTTCTCCAATTTTGCCTCAGGATTCTAGCAGATTCGCTTTCGAAAGAAAGATAGATACAAAACTGCCTTCACTACTCCATTTGGTCATTATAAATGGAAAATAATGCTCTTTGGATTGAAAAATGCTCCTAGTGAATTCTAAAATATCATGAATGATATTTTCAATCCTTATAGTCATTTTTCCATTGTTTATATTGATGATGTTCTTATTTATTCCAAGTCAATTGATGAACACTGGAAACATTTGAAATCGTTTCTGGCAACAATTCAAAAGAATGGTCTCGTTGTTTCTGCTACAAATATCAGGTTTCTAGGTTACCATATCTATCAAAGCCAGATTCGTCCTATTGATAGGTCTTTTCAATTTGCTGATAAATTCCTAGACCAAATTTTAGAAAAGTCACAACTTCAGCGATTCTTAGGGTCTCTAAATTACATTGCTGATTTTTACAAAGATCTCCGTAAGCAATGTAATCCCCTCTTTGATCGTCTTCAGAGTAATTCTCCTCCATGGACCTCTGTCCATATTGATATAATTAAATCTATTAAACGTTATGTCAAGTCATTGCCTTGTATTGGCATTCCAATTACTGATTCTTTCAAAATAATTGAAACTGATGCCTCTGACATTCGTTATGGTGGCATCCTCAAGCAACGAGTCAGTCCAAATGCACCTGAACAATTAGTTCGATTCCATTCCGGTGTTTGGACAAAAGTACAACGTAATTATAGTACTATTAAAAAAGAAATTTTATCTATTGTTTTATGTATAAGTAAATTTCAAGATGATATTTTAAATCAAAAGTTTCTAGTCAGAGTTGATTGTCAAAGTGCAAAATATGTTTTAGAAAAAGATGTTGAAAATATTGCTTCTAAATAGATTTTTGCCCGATGGCATGCTATTTTAAGTATATTTGATTTCGATATAAAATATATCAAGGGAAGTAACAATTCTATTCCAGATTTTCTTACAAGGAAATTCTTGCGGAAATTTGATGGCAGACCAGCAGCCTCCCCTAAGGCCCCAACTAGTTAAACCATTCGATATTTGCTCTGGCAAAGCCCCAGTCACCAGATCTCAGTCACAAGCACGAACTTCTGCACTAGCAGTCACCAACAGATTTCAACC